ATCACTGTGGGGCTCTCCAGAGTCTCTCTGTGAATTTTTGCTGTCCAGGAATTTTGAGGCTGGGGCGGTATTTGTAAGTGTTGATGAAACAGTTCTGGAATTGTGTCAGCTTCACATCTATTAGACCAATGACATTTAACCTAGATCTTGAATAAAAAGGTGTAGCMGGTTCATATTTGGGAATGCATGGTGATTGTAGCACTGTCAGAATTAATCCCCTGATTTTCAKGAGGATTATAACTACAAGGATGGTGACTCTTACATTGCTGTATGTAATCCTCTTTTTAAGATTATGTAAAGCTAACCTCAAAGATTTTAACCCTTAATCAACATGTTCAGGAATCAAACTGGGTGTTTATTTTGAGAAACAAGAAAAAGGGGTTAAGGGATGAAGAAAAAATAGTTTGTCCATKATGCAACAAAACAACAASTAGTGCCMCTATGAYATAGTGTTCCCTTGTCCATTAGTGCTAAGGGCTTGCACTGTTTAAAATATAACTTTTAAAATAGTTTAGTTTAAAAAAAAATCCTCATCTTTCAGTGTTTTTTCACCACCTGTTTTTCTTTCTCATATAGGCTTTCTTGCAAATTAGATCAAGAAAGTAAAGGTGTTTTGCTTTTGACATTTTCCCTGGTTGTGAAAGCTACTCAGTCCTCCTAATGAATATTTTCACTTCACTTGGTGTAATTGCCATCCCATCCATTTGTTTGTCAAGATCAGAAAATGTGTTTAGTTGAAATTTTGTTTATTTTTGGCCATGCAGATAGAATTTCTTCTGGGTCATAAAGACAGGAGGTTGCTAGTCCTCGAAATTTTCCAATTTTCAGTACTGGGAGAGTATCTAGTAGAACTCCTAAAAATCTCTCACAGTTTATGGAAGGTTTTACTTCTAATAAGGTAAAAGAATGATGGTAGTCCCATCATTATGCAAGTCAGTCAGTTCTGCTTGTGTGACTTACTTATTGTCCCTGTTTAGTTTCATTCAGGATATGTGTGGTCTCTCTGCTTGCCTCCAAGAAACTAGAGATTTTTGGAAACATTGATGTCAACACTCTTTACTTCCAGTAAACACTCTTTACTTCTTTACTGCGGCATTAGAATCTTTGGAACTTGGTGAAAACAGAATCCATCAGTTCAACTGATTTGCTCRGTTCAGTAAAGCCCTTTTCAATAGAAACTATGACATAAAACTTTCTTCATGTRTTGTCAATAAAAGCCTGTATTTATTTAGAAAAGCTTAAATGCATTTTTTGAATATTCATATATTTTACTTTTTTTTCTAAACAGTATTTGACACGTGTGTCAGTATATAGTTTGCAACAAACTGAAAATGTGGAACTGTAATCATTGCTGTGTAAATGCACCTAAGTGAACCATACTGGCAAGAATACAAATTAGGTTTCTCTTATAGAAGGATGTTCGTTTAACAGGGGCAGAACAGAACATCCTGGGATTGTTGTTGTGGTTTGCAGTCATGTAGTTACATAAAGGCTCTCAGCCAACCCCAAACCTAACTTTGTTTCATCTCCATCAGCTATTGCGATCGCTCTCACATTGCAATAATTTTTCCCAGGCATCACAGTCATTTTTKCCTTCAAGGGGAAAGATGCAAAGCTAAGTGTAGTGAATTCTCACTTCACTGTTATCAGAAGATTGCAAATGTGTTTGCCAGATGCAGTTAGCAGCTTAGTAGCTAGCAGAGCCAGAAACTCAGGTTTGGGCAGATGGTATTCCCTGCAGATAAATCAGCACCTGAAGTCTGAGGGGATTGTGCAATCAACTGTCTACCTGAGGACTGACACTGATTATTAATTTCTTTATTTATTTTGCTTTGTGCGTCCTTGATTTAAAGTTAAAAAAAGCACAAAACTGATCCAACCAATGAAATTAAAACCAAAATCCCCTAGCATTTTAGATCTATGCAGGTTGAACAGTTGGAGGAAAGAAACCAGTAAAAACAATCATAATTTGTCAATTACAAAACTAATTCTTTAAAGTATGTTTAGAACTAGATTGCAGATACTGGTTTCTTGTGAAGAATTAGAGTTTATTTGCCTCAGAATTGCTTGAATGTGTTGCTTTAATGATGTTTTTCATATCAGTGACCTTCAAAGTCAGGTGTACAATATCATCCAGTGAAATATGGGAAGAAAATCTATAACGTACATTTTATCGAAAAATAAGAAAGCAATTAGGCTTTACTTGGTATACATATTGATGCTGGCATGCTCTGTAGGTCTGTATGTCAGATCGTCCTGTGTCACATTTGGTTTGTGAGGTACCCTGAAGACAGGTTTAGTATTCCACAGTATGGAGGGATCACAGTAACACTTGATTTGTTAATTCATTTCCTGATATTGTAATAGATGCAGTTAGGAGGATTTCTGGATTATAATATTTAGTTTTTACTAAACAAACCRTCACAAAGTGGGCAAGTGGCTTTACAAAAATCCTGCAAAGAGACCATGGATTAAGATAATGCTAATAATGTGAATAATGGGGGGGGGGGGGAGCTGATGCTTCTTCTACTCCTACTATGAGCTCTAGTTCRGATGTATTATAAGATCAAACCATTGGCCACTACCTCTTACAAAACAACTTGGTTTATCAAGAAGGGCATTTCAAACACGGATGTACATCCGCTATTGGAAATGATGAACATTGTTTCTTGAGGTATCAGCTAATGATAGTGTGAAGCCATCACAATTACYAAAAGGCATTTAAAAATGAAGCTACCAGAACATGAAGACAAACATCTACAATTTTTTTCAGCAATGTTAAAGTCATGCTATAGTCAATCCAGGACTACAAGATTTCACTAAACTTAGTTGTAGATCRTTAGAAGCCTCTTTTGAGATTTCTCAGTAGCAAAAGTCACAAAGATACTTGTTRGGGAAGCACTTCATCTTCCTGTGGTAGTAAAAATGTCTGAAATAATACATAGAAAACAATGTGGTGACAAACTAAAACWCATTCTTTTGTCAGCAGATACTGTTGGAAGATGTCTGGAAAACATTGCCAAAGTTCTGAAGAAACAAATACTAGAAAAAATTACACAGTGGGAAAGGCTTGCTGTACAGACAGTTGGATGAAAATATAGGTGTTTGTGATGTGGTTTGACTTATGGAAATTGCTAGATTCTGTCCCCATAATGAAATTCACAAAGAACTAAGTCACTAGGGAAGGATGTACCAGACAAGAGACATTCCTCATTGTAAATTCTAAACAGTATCTTCTTTAATAACAGCTTTTTWAAAAAAAATAAAAACTGTAAAAAAGTAATGACAGATGCAGTGGCTGATTTGACCAAAGTAAAAAGGGTTCTGGGGTGAGGTTACAAGGGGAGCATCACATGCAGAACTCATTCATTGCATCATGCATAGGCAAGCAACAAGGAAGTTGGAGCTATAAGTGCAGAAAGTGCTGCAGGATGTCATCATTGTGGTTCATTTTATAAAAACAAAACCTTTAAATAGTAGAGTATTTAAAATAATCTGTAATGACAGTGGGTGTGACCAGGAAGATCTTTTGAACTGCGGAGTTTCATTATCATGGCAAAGTGCTTAGCAGAGTTGTAAAAGTTGAAGAATAATTAAATGTTTTATCTCACAAAAAGACAAGTATTACGAATTTCCTGACCTGCTCAGTGATATCAGTCAGCAATGCTAACAGTAATTTTCAAAAAAGTAAAGACACTTAAGGCACTTTCTCTTGAAGGTGAAGATGGCATTTTAACAAGAAAGAAACTGACTGCTTTTTGAAATAAATTGATGCTATGGAGAGAGCATTTTTAAAACTGATGTTTTGAAATGTTTCCTTGTGTGATTCTTGTTGCCAGAAAAGATGTGTATCATCTCTAAAACTTCCCATGTTTGTACACTTAAACTTGGAAGCAGAATTTCCTCATCTGCTTAAAAGTCTTCACAATAAGAGTTTTAGAACCTGAAAWTTTATTAAAAGTGTAAAACTGCAACACCTTCCATTTGTTTGCAATAACAAGTGATTGATATCAAGCCAGATGGAAATTTACTGACCAAATTTACTGGCCACTTTGTATAATTTAGTGGATAGRGATGCAAAATGAGTGTCATGATTTAGAAAGTGTAGCCAGTGATGCACTTTGATTTGGATGTACATATCTTTGTAAATTGTGTTTTCCAACTATGACAGCCAATAAACTGAATTTAAAACTAGACCTTCAAATCACTGTATTACAATGTGTTAAGTCAACATTTTAAAAAATGCTGAAGCATAKTCAATCACATGAGTCTGAAAAAAATAATTGTAAAAGCAAAAGGGTTTTTTACCATTAAAAATTCTTTGAAAATACTTYAAAAGTTCTTTAAAATTCCTTATTTTATCTTTATCTCATCCTTTTTAATTTCTGGTTTTATATGTTAAARTTATCAGCTGGGATCTGACGCAATGCTGTTTTACTTGCTGAGTGATGAGGTGGGGTAGTCCTTGTAAAGTGCCTGTTGTCACCTCAGTGGATGAGGAAGTGATTTGTGGGTGGACAACAGTGGACAACAGAAACCTGATGGCAAATCTAGGGATAGAATGTTTGTCTGAATTGCTCTCATTACTGCTTGAGTGCATTGTTCTGGTCAGCAGCATGATCTTCATATGCAAATGTTTCAGATGTTTTGTTCATTTGAAGTTAATGRTGCTCGGCTCATCTGAAATCAGACCATAAGTATGTCTTCTAGAGAGAGGAATATTGATATATCACAGCTGAATTTCTATTCTTGCCTTACACAGTTGTTCTAAATTATGTAAATATATATGTTACTGAAGTGTCTTGGCATCYTTAGAAGTGTAATGTGGGACAGATTTCCAAAGTGTTTGCTTTTTTTAACTGCTGTTATGAAAKAATGTGTTCTGCCATACCTAAATAATATTTGGTAACTTGTTGAYTAGTTGAACATTTTATTTAATATCTGTAGCTAACATGCAGAGATAAGTACTTTTTAATAAGCTACCTGYTTGCTTTTTTTAGGCTGAAGCCTAGACCTCTGACATGGCCGCAGCCTCACCAAGATCTGATACAAGYAACAACCGTAATGGAAGATTACAGATGCAAGTAACAGGCAAGTAGTGGTTTGTGTCATARTGATTTTTACAGGAAAACATATGTATTCTACAAAAAGCAATCATGGAAGTGAGTGTAAAAATGAACTAGTACAGTTAATATTTTATTTATTTTAATTAATGATAGGAATGTTACAGATAACAATGTGACTATAATACATGTTGATGATTTGAAGCTAATTAGAGATTATGTGGTGAGTTGCATGACAGGGTTTAATATCTCCTAAAAAAATCCATACAATAATACAGACAATTGCAATTGCATTAATTGTGATTAATGACATCTGTTCTAAACAGGGAACACATATTACTGAAATTCTRCAGAAAAGATGGGTGGTTGTAGTGAATCCCTAGCTGAAAATGGGTACAATGGTGTAGTGAAGGTGGAGAGCTGGTGGAGATCACAAAATTTGCTAGCCCTTTGAAAGACTAAGGTCTTTCTTTACATATCAGGTAAATATTTGTCGATATAATGTCCTTGGGGCCTGAGGCTGGATTGCACAGACATGGAATAATTTAGTATGGAATGAACTTTAGATGATTTCCTAGTTCAGTCTTTTGATGAAGGCAGGACTACCATTGAAATCGATTATGGTATTGACCAGTTGAATTTTCAGTGTCTAAAAGGCTGTACACTACCAGATTTTCTGGTGAYGTCACATCACTGTGAATGTTTTTCCTTCTATCCAGTTGGAATTGACTGTGTTGTCTCTTGTGACTGTTTACTTTTTTTCCTTTTGCTGCGCTAGTTCTTGTAGTTTGAGGCAGAATTCAGCCATCCCAGTAAGTGTGGAAGGGAAGCACAATCGGCTACAAATAGTCCTGGAGATTTCCGATTGTGCTGAGTATACCGTGTCATGTTGAACAGGCCAACTAGATTATGCATTTTGCTATTGATTGACAAGAATTGGTCAAAGATRTGACAATTGGTGCCAGTCTTACCTGCTTTATCTGTGAGATGGCAGAGCAGAACTGAGACTTCCTTGTAGTCTGARGACTAACAAAGTGCATCTAGGTAAACAAGTTTGATAGCCAATTGTGACAGTGTTACAGCAGTTAAAAGTGAAAATGTTACCAGCACACAGGTTAAGAAACTGTGCATAAATACATCTGCCATAAATATATATGTATTTATGTATATGAATTACATTTTACCATTGACAACTAAGTTGAACTTTCCAAGGTTTTTGAGAAATCTGGGAATGCGGAAGTAAAAATGGGTTCATGGCCAAGAACATATTAAGGCTATCCCAAACAAAATTTAGAAAAAACATGAGCAAGATATCTGGTCTTAACAAAGGCTGTCTGAAGAAAGGTTCATCCTGCTGGATGATCCAAAGATGGCCAGGCTACCTGAGAAAAAATTGTTGAAAAGTCCCCCAAGTGAATATTTTATGAAATTAGATAAGAGAGGAACCTTAAAACTGAGTAACCTTGTGTAAGGAGCACATAATTCAATAATGTGATGAATCATCAAAACTGGCRGCCTCCTGTAGACTGAATGTATATATATAACAGTAACGAACTGACTTACACAAATGACCCTTAATTTCAAATCTGTGTATACAGAAATGGTAATTTTGTATCCTATACTAAGCTGCTCCTTATGTAAGTGGTCTTGTATTTTTCTGGTACTGGGACTTCTTTTGACTCCAAGAGATCTGAGTCAGGACTCAAATGGAAAGAAGTCTCTACAACATTTAGGATTACTTGTCTGAAGTTTTAGTTCTCTAACCAGTCTTTTTTGCAAGATCACAGGAATGCCAATGGAAGTAGAGGGAAAGGAGTGGGAGACAGAGAAGTGTGGGACTGTAGTATTGCTGACCTACACTGCATATTTATGTGCAGTTTTGGTTATGCTGCTGTAGAACCTAGATTTATATTTCAAGAACTGTAYTTAAAAAGCACWTTTGTAAAGGTAGCARATATCATAGACRCATTTTGCAGACAAAGAATTAATAYRGAGTTCTCAAACTTGTTTGAGTTTGGGAAGRTGCAGCATGTTGCAGGCATCCTTGTCATCAGTATTTGTTCAAATATTCTTGTTGAGATCTTGTCTTGGTTTCAGTTTTCTATATCTAAGCTTTCATTGTTATCAGGGCTACAGTTTCCTTTGACAGCCCTGATGCATTACTGAGACTGAGCTTTCCAGATGTGAGAGAGTAAAGTTTGCACCTTTTATTTGAAACTAAGTATAAGTCCATGGCTAGTGCCTTTACAATCTTGGATGTTTGCATCCCACTAACTTTTAAATARCTAATGTTTATGTCTCAGAATGCTGCAATCCAGAAATATGTCTCCCTTTCAGACAGTTTAGTAAACTTCCATGCTGAGTTAGCAAGTACCMTGAAGGAAAGGAACAGGAAAGAGTTATTTCCAAATGGCTGAAAATACTCAGCCTTCCTTCAGTTTGCAAGTGGAGGGARCAAGAATTACTCTGAAGCAAAGGAGAGAAGGCATAGCCAGCAGGTAAGTAAAGCTGAGAGTCCATTCTTGTGGTCTTTTGAAGACAGCATACGTCTGAAATAGAATTTAAAATCTTGGCAGTTAGGTTGCTTTTGGTTTTTATAGTGGCTTCCTCAGCTGGATATGGAAGTGGGAGAACAGATTTATGTTCAGGAGCACAGAGGAACTCACCAGTGATTTGGAGGTGAAAAATAGCTTCTTTGGTCGAATGGTGTTTCTTAGTTGTTGAATATTTACCTGAAACTTTGAGTTTGCAAAACTGTTTATGTAGGGGAAACATAAGAGTAGGTTTCTTAATTTTAACAAASTGCTGTGTAAAACCGCAGGTCAACCACACAGTAATATAGGCAAGGAAATGAAGCTCTGTATACAGGCTTTGCTATACAGGGACATTTTGAAATAGGTGTGAACTGCATTGACTTTCTTAATATATAACTAAAAAATAAAGTCTGTCTGAGAATCTCTCAGTTGCATCATAAGATGTATCATACTATCATACTGCATTTTTCAGTTAAGGGAAGGATAGGAAGAACAATGAGAAAATAACTTACGTTATTTCCAGTGTTTATATCTAAAATAATTGTGCTGTCKCTCCAACCAGTCCTACCAGTATGTGGTGAAAAGTGTATGTGACACTTGGTTTCAACTATCTGACAAAGTAGCTTTTCAAAATAAAAACTACCATTTTTTCATTGACTTTTTTCTGTTCAGCAGAAGTAGAGAAGGTGGAGGAATAACATTGCCGTACCATGTATTTCATACAGTGTGTAGGCAGTACATTTTCTGTTTTTCAGCAACAGTATGCTGCTATAGATAAACCAATGCATTTTATTAGTTTCTAGTGCCAAACTGAAACGGAAAAAGAATTGGTTTGGAACAACTTTCTACACAGAATTAACTGCAGATGGAGAAATTAAGAAAACAGCAAAATCAAGTAGTTCTTCAAATCCAAAATGGGATGAGCAGCTGACAGTGTAAGTAGATTTTTGGTTGTTTGATACTCTTTATTACACAGACATTGCAGGCAAATATTTACTAAACTTGGCTGACTGCATAGTTTGCTGCTCTGGCTGTTGATGTCTAAATTGAGACATAAGTTGGTATTTATCTCAAATTGTTTTTATCTCAATCCTTACAATGTTTTGTGTATGTTTTTTGTATGGCATGTGTTACTTCCATACAGTGTCTGTACGTGGTATARTGTTGATATTTGTTAGCACTGTGTTAGCACACCTTGCTGAAAGAGTTACTAATTGTAACGATGTCATTCTCAACTTTCAAAGGAAAAAAGTCTCAACTCGATAAGTAATAGGTGTAAGGAAGGTCACTTCTTTGAATGTCCCAATGAAGGGGTGCATACACACAAACTGCAAAGTGACTTTGCAACTTTCCCTGATATTTGACTGTTTTAATCTTCTTGTGGTTTAGTTTGGTTTAACTTTGCTAGGGGTGTAGATATAYCTGAATATGACTCCATGAAGAACTGGCAATCTTATGCTTGGCTAGAATGCTTTATTCACAAGTGAGATTGTATTTATTAAGACTTGGGTCTGGAAACAGCTTAGCTCCTGTCAAGTGGCACTGAACCTTGGCCAGTACATTTCACAGCATCTGACATGTCYGTGTGCAATAGCTAGCTTTCTTAATAGGAGGAATCTTGATAGATTGCAATCTTTGGGGAACTCTTTGCTTGGGAACAGTTAACTTACTCCAGACCTGCTCTGAAGCAAGTAGGGTATTCCTGTGYCTCATTTCTCAGTATTTCAGGTTTAGTGAACTTACTATCCCTTTGCAATATTGCAGAAGAGAGTGACATAGTCTTGGATGTGAGGATGATTTCCAGGATCAAGAGCCATAACTAATGCGGAGCTATCAGTATRTTCACAGAGCCCCGAGTTTCTCTTGAGGAGGCGGGTTTGATTTGTCAGGATTTGATGATCTGATAGAAATGAGGTAATTTGCAAWGCATGGTAAAGGCAGACTCATTTCATGAGTACTGCTTACTTAGGGTCTTAGCCTTATATATATGTTGAGAGTATTCTGGCCCCTCTGGCTATTGCAATGGTATTTGAGGTTAAGTACCTTTCTGGCTTACCAAATTCCCTTCACTTCTGTGGGTCAGCAACATATTTTCTGTGTGTAGGTGTTAGGGATTTTTTCCTTTACTTTTTGAGCTGGTCTTTTATTAAGACTCCTATTAGAAGGCAGCCTGTTCAAAATGCAAAAAGATACTTGTGTTTCAGCAAAAAAGATCTATATTATCCAACATGTTCAAGTGACTRTAGAGCTAGACCTGTTGTTAAGAGGGTGAGGGTTGTTTTTATYATTTTTTTCTTCATGGCTGATATAACTTTCTGTGTATATTAGGTCAATATTGATGGATATGTGGTCTTTGACTTTTTGCAATAAAGTACTACTACTCCCATTTTTCACAGCCAAGAGCACTCTTGCAGTACTAGACTCTGTACTGCGAAACTTACTGTCCAGGACCTAGCATAGCTTGAGCAGGGGAGAGATTAATGCCAAGGATTATCATAATATTTCTGCAATTGGGTCCTTTACCTTTCTGCTTCCCTCCAGTTTTTACTTTAGCCTCATCATTTGATTTTACCCCTCTGATTTATGTGAGTATGCCTTATGATTATATATGTATTTGTGGATTCACAAAAAGTGTTTATCARCACTTTCATGGCAAGCTGACACCTGTTTAGTGGGTTCTTCCTGCTTGCAAATAGATGCTTCATTCCTTTTCCTTTAAAAAAAATCAGTATTTTTCTTTTTAGTGACAGACAAATATACTTCTCACCTTTTTCTTCACATTTAAAAATGTCCGTTTTTAACTAGAACTCCTGAGAAATGGGGAAATCTGCCTTTCGTAAATAGATGTGTTTTATAAAACTGAGATTTGAGCTTAGTGTAGGTTATTCTGATACTTCTGAAATTCCTAATGCTATCATAGTAACGCACTTTGGGTTTGATCCTAAGTGTAAATATCATAGTGTTTGCAGTTCTAAGTTAAAAACGTCCCCTTGCAATACAAAAACTTACTTCAYGTCATTCTTATCAAGAAATACGATGAGAAAGTGAATGAAGTTCAAATACTCGCAATAACAAGAATTAATTCTTTTAAATTGTATATATCTTTCCTTTTAAAATGTATTTTGTACGCAGGAATGTGACTCCACAGACTACGCTGGAATTTAGAGTGTGGAGCCATCACACTTTAAAAGCAGATGCTTTGTTAGGAAGAGCCACTGTAGACTTGAAACAAGCTTTGGAAATACACAATAGAAAATGTAAGTTATCATGAAGGATATTTTGAATAAAGTAGAATTATTATTACTAATCTGTATATCAAACTGGCAACCAGACTACTAACTATACATGTAATTACAACTGTATTTCAGTTGATATCTCTTCTAGAGATGTCTGTGCTATTGAGAGCAATTTAAATAGCAATGGCATAATACTTTTGAAACAAACAGTAGAATGAGTTACTGAAATTTAAGTAAAGCAGAGGTGATTAAATACAATGTTTTTTAGCAYGCTAATAACTAGTTTGGTAGAAGATCTGTTTTAGATTTGGTAGCAAAAAAAAAGGCTAAACTTTCAGAAAAGCCATGCAATTTTTCATGTTTTTCTTCTCTGGAGTCACTAATTGAAAGACTRTATTTGTCCCTYRTAATTCAGCTGCCTGGCAAGCAATAGAAAACATTGATTAATGAAATGATTGTATCTTCCTTTTGGTACATTAGAGATTGTTTGTTCTATGTAACTTCTAATTTTAAGTATTTTTAATAGACTATATCTAATTTGCTTTTCAAATTTTTGTTCTTTAGTACAAAAAGRTGGTGAATCCACACTTTAAATTCCACTCCAGAGTGACAGTAGAATTTCAGCTTAACCAGTCTTAAACTTTCTCACAGTTAGATGTATAAACCTGAGGTACCTGTTTAGGAAGGTGGGGGCAAAGGCGAGCAAAAAAAAAAAAAAAAAAAAGTTAAATTTTTCTGTTTCTTACAGAAAATTGAAACAGAATCCAAAATTAAATGGAGCTTCTTCAACAATATTGTAATTATTCAGTGGAAGATTTTATAGTTGAGCAAAAAAATTTCTTTTTCAATAAGGAAACTGTATCAGAAGAAACTGGGTTATAGTAATGTTAGCCAGAGAAAAAAAATATTTAATATTTTAACTATTTCTTACAAAATAGTTAMTATTTTATTGCTGTAGATCCAGGGTATATAGGATATAACAACCTGACAAATTCTTTCAGGGAATGTTTGACTGAGTTTGCTGTACATTACACCAAAAATAATTTATGTACAATGTTTCTGATTTAGGAAGTTAACAAAATAGCAGAAGTTAAACCAACCAGCCTTTGCAAAAATTATGTGTTGAAGAACTCAGTGGTAGGCTAGTTCCTTCTTTCTCTTTGAAGTAGTACTGTTCTCCAAAATGCAGATTGCTAAATCAGTAATCCTGTAGATTTAGGAGCTTTGTGCTTGCTCCAGAGATTTAAAGTCCTTTGAAATCCTTTGTAGTACAGCAGTGTGTGTCTGCAAGGTAACTGCTGCCCAACTACCCTGTCAAACCTGCTCTTTCAAGTAATAGCTTGGGGGTATCTGGCAATAGGTTTTGATAGCCTTCCCTGTTTTCATGTTTAYTGTTCATTTATGATACATGCTAAGAATGAAACAAATATGGAAATGCTAGTTTAATGCATAGAAGTGCCCAGTGAATTTTAAATTTAACTTGGAATCCTATCATATGGAGGGAAATATGATGGCATATCTTAAAAAACTAAKCTTTTAATCTGAGAGCACAAATACTAAAAGGTCTTAACCATTTTAACCTGATTAATGTGAACTCCTAGCTGACTGTGTTTGGATTTATGACATGTAGCTTTAACTGCTGTACTAGTAATAGTTGATTTAGAGGGAATTAYGTAGCATCCCCAGCATGGTTTACCTCTGGATTACGTATGTCTCTCTACAAATGCATGTACTGCTTGTCAGTCAGATTGAATTCTTTTACTGCACCATCAATTATCTCAAATTTTCTTTTGGTGAAAATAGTTTCTGAATTAATTTTTGGTTACCTGAGGCATCCTCTTTACTGTTTAATCATTGGAGTTGCAATCTATGAAAATGCTAGTAAGGATTTACTAAAAMTAGTGTTAAAATTGAGGGAGGGCTCTATGCCATCCATTTACTTCTTCCTCAAAGAAATTATGTTTACAATGGTCTTTTAGAATTAGTTTTGGAAGGTGCTRTGAGAAATGAATATAAGCTCTGGTTGTAAAATGAGGTTCCCAATGACTTATAATATATGGATGTATGGCTGAGAAGTTGTTTGACTTTCAGCCATCACATGTTACGTAAGTAGTGCATAATTTCSCAAGAGGTTAATGGAAGTGACAGATYTGGGAAATCATTAACAACAAAGTAYTGAATCCTCATGGATTCTTTAGCATACCTATAGAATATAGTATGTAAGCAGACAGTTCATTTTTAAAATAAAACGTTTATTTACCCACAGCAGGTGTAAATATACACAGCTCCATAGTGATTCATACATTGCTTTGAATATCTCTTATGTTCTGTTTTATATGTTCTATTTATAACTAAATGCATATATCACATTTGTTGAAGGTCTCTTTTAATATCATCTAGAATTTAATCTTTCCTTTACCCCTTCTTTCCTTCTTTTCCCTTACCCACCCACCCCAACTCCATTTTTAGTGGAGAAGGTGAAAGAACAATTGAAACTGTCTTTGGAAAACAAGAGTGGCATGGTGCAAACAGGTGAACTGACAGTTGTGCTRGATGGTTTGGTTGTTGAACAAGAAGCTCTTACAAATCTCAGTTCATCAGCAACCAGTAAGTTGAAGCAATTAAGTCTGATGATAATATTTGGATTAAGATTTTAAACAGATATAATAGAATATTTCTGTTGAATTTGTTTCTTACTCTTCAGTAGAAGTTCAGCAAAATGGCGATGCTGTGCATGAAAGCAGAGATTCTTCAGCAAGAGGTTCATCCAGGTTGGAATTTATTTTTGTATTTTATGCCATATGAAATACATTAGCAAATTTATTAGTTGAGATGCTTGGGTTGTTTGTGTTTAGCTGTGTGTTTGGTTGGTTTTTTAATATTTCTGAAGGTGTGAGATTTTAGCTGTTGAGGTCTAAATTATGTTGCCACAAATTTTAGAAACATTATTTGTTTGATAATTACATAATTTAGTTCAGCTGCTTGGAAATCTATTAAATGCTGCAGCCAAAATTAGGGGAGCAGTTCTCAGTGTATTTTTATGTACTTATTCCATTTATTTTCTTTTGCTGCTTAGGAACCTTTTCTGTTAATGTCTACCAGCTTTTTGCAGTGTAGTACTTGAATGGAAGGAAAAGGAAAGGAAAGTCTGAATTACTTCCTCTTCAGCCTTTTTAAGGTCACAATCAGGAACTTAAAGAGACTCATATGGAGTTTCACAAGCAGTGTCCATAACACTGAGGCCAAGGTCTGTTTCATCCTGAAGTGGCAAGAAAAAGATGTTGGGACCAACTTAGAGTGTCATTCTTGGCTTCTCTGTAACTGCTCAAGAAGAGAAGTAGGAATAGGCTTTTTGCCMCCTCATCTCTAGTAAGACAAACAGGTCAAAATTCAGATCAATTTAATGTTAATGGTCTGCTCAGTTACCTTGTGTGAACCCCTTTCTGTCTAAGCTATTGACAGTTGGARTGGAAAAACATCCAGTTGCTATGCATTTGAGTGACAGGGACACATTTGTCCTTGTATGTTTGACTTGATTCTTTTTTTGAATATATGGATATGTGTCTCTGTACCTCAATGGCTGCTCAAGATGAGGGAGTGAGAATAAAAAGTTGCTTCTGCTTTTTTTTTTTTTTTTGTTAGAAAGGTTTGGGACTGCTAAAAGTGTTTTGAAACATATCTGCATACTATTTTGAAACGGTAGTAACAATCATTTGTTTTCATTCAGCTATTGTAACTGGAGTTATGTGTCTGRCTGGGACCCTGGTCTTGATGTTGATATTTTAATTTACTGCTGTTTTCCACACAAGTACCCAGCAGTTTTAATTTACTGTTTTAAAATTAAGACATGAAGAAAAGTTTTAAGGTAGCTTCTCTGCATGTCTTTTGGAGGCAAATTGAATTTGTAGTCCAGAGTTGAAAAGGGATAATACTTCAATTCTCTGTTTATATTACTCCTTTGGAGTTGGATAAGGAAGCATGGAAATGCTGCTTTTTCCCTTCTTTCTCCACAAAGTGGGTCTTCTAACTATTCTCACATTTTTTCTCGTCTGTTAAACTTCTCTTCAATACTTAGCCTCTACYCCTTGAAAAGATAAGGAGTTGGTATTGAGTGTAATTTTCAAAATATTTGAGACAGGAGAAACTGTCTCTGGTGAATGGCTTTAAGTATTCTGGAAGAGATTTAAGTAAAAATCCGCGGTACCACTGTAACTGAACAAAACTTTACATTCACAAACCCTAAAACTGCATTTATTTCCATGYAATCTTGTAAACACAGGGCTGCCTATGAGTATTTGTCCTCACAATGTCCCATCCTGCCAATGCACAGAGAAGCTCATCTTATTTTCCTTTTACTGAGGGAGAATTTAGTTGCTTTCTTATGTTATGAGTATTTTTAGTGATATGACTAATGAAACCAGTTCTTCCTCTTGCTTAATGAGAGAAAAAGCCTTTCCTGCTCATAGCTGCACTTTGGAAGGGTCTCTAAAGCTGTTTTGGAAGATGTGGCAGGAGCATCAGTCTGTTCAATTCAATTCTAATACGTCATTGAAAGTAAAAGAGGAAGTGAAAATGGAAACTCTTACCTCTTCTAAGTATTGAAATCTTCAAAATCAAGTTTTGCCTTTTTCTTAAGGTCAAGTGCAAGATCAAAACAATTATCTAGGSTATTCACACCATGTTATAAACAGTTGTGACATTTCTTTATTTGTTTCTATAGCCTAATTTAGTGTAGGATTTGGTTTAATTGTGTAACTGTTCAACATGTTACTTGTTGTAACCTAAARTCATCTTCTATTTTTACCAAGATCTGCTTGTGACATTTCTAATGGGATAGACAATCAAGTACCTTCCAACTCTGTAGTACAGAATGCATTCTGTGTAGAAGCTGTTAATGGAGACAGTACACCATCTCCTGTTCACGTTACAGACAGACCCAAAAATACACCAGTACCAAAACCACTTGAAGCTCAGCCTGTCAACAGCACTGGTAAGAGTGGGAGAGTGATGGGAACATGTTCCATAAGACTTTTTTATATAGTTGTATTTGAGGTTGAGCTACTTTTTCTATACAATTGTTGTTGTATTTCAAAAATAATGAAAGGATGTTTCTAGSTTTGAATTTATAATCTTGTGTGTCCACTTTTGTAATATTTTCTGCAGTAGACCCATTCTTAAATATACTGAGTTTCACACTTTACCACCAGTTTTTTTCTCTGATGAAGAAAGATTTAAGTGTTCAAAAACTTCTGTTTTTCAGTCCCARATAATGAAAGCATATTACTGATTTTCTGGAAGAAAAATCAGATTTCTTTACAAGTAATTTGAGTAACTATAGTTAATTTTTTCCTGACATTATATAACTCTGATTTAGGAAGGGAACTGCTGTGCTCTGAGTCGAGATGTGTTGCAGGCTCTCCCTGCCTTCAATTTTTTCAAAAGTTATTTTACTTAAAAACACRTAGTAGCAACTACTGAATTTTATTTTCATCTCAAACACAAAAACATTTATTCTGACTACAGTTCACTTTTGGTACAGTGAAACTAGTGAGAAGAAAGTATATTTTGATTTTTGTTCCTCTGGCATCTAATAATAACTGTGCTTTCTAAACATTTTCTCAGCTGTTTGAGAGAGATTACAGTAGTAGAGAGAAAAGACAACCTTACACAAAAATAGGCAGGTTGTTACTAAATAGCAGAACAGACATTGTCAAACTCTGTAATAGAGTAGAAACTATTGGTAGMKTTGGAAGATAACAGAAACAATTATGAACTTTAAAAGTTAATAATTAAATTAGGCCTTCTCTGAAGCTTTTCTCTATTTGAATAACTTTAATTTGATTCCCTTCTCTTTTCAGCTCAAGGCTAGAGGGCATATATATTATTTAGTTGTTGGTCCCTTTTTCTTCAACGGCAGATAGATCCATCTGAAGTCTGTCTTAGGATAGGGTAATTGAAAAATAATTGATTTGTTCAARTGGTAGTATTGATGAAATCATCACTGATCATGCACTGAGGCATTGATATATCAGTTGTCAACTATACCAGCTGGTGAAGATGATTTTAAGGCAAGACAKGAAACAGGTCTCCAGCATTTTTTGATGACACTTTTTTTCTCCCCTGTAGTACTTAGCAGGATTGTAATTTTATGTGATATTGCCATAATTGTTGTTTTAGGCATAATTGRTAAATCTGATGTAATGTTTTATAGATCTGTTTTGGAGATTAATTTACTAATAGAGCAGATTRTTTGTTCATTATTTTTCTCCTAACTTTACTATGTAACCCTATTCATGCTTTCATGTGGATGAGTTGAGTTTTTTTTTAATGAAAATTGAAATTTCAGTTGACTTTTTTCCTGTGTAAGTTGTTGCTTGTTTCCTCAGAAGTCTGAGGAAATGTGATCAAATTGTTGRTAGTTTTTGTGTCATGCTTTCCATTTGCTGAAATAATGTAAACTCTTGATGTATCTTAATGTAGTTAATTCCTTTTGTGCCATCTGAAAATAGTGGTATGTTACCTTGGAAAAGTTGTGATCAAAAAGTAGTGCTTTTAYAGAACTTAAAAATCATGTAAAATTTCAAAATCATGCTTGTAATTATGCATGTCAAGAAAATTCATATGGTGCAGTGAAAATTCCTTGAAGAAATTGACATGCTAATTTAAATTAATTTCTGATGACAGAATTACAGCAAACGAGCTCTTTAAAATAATGAAGCAAGATTTTTATGGGCTCCTATGTAGGGTTAAATTTTGTAAATGTGTATCAACAGGGTTAAGAGTATAGAGCAATTGTATTGGCTTCAGTCGTAATGTAATAATATGCTGTAAGGTAAGAAAATTTTTTGAAGCCTGTGTTTCATCCTTAGTCCTGTAGAAAATTGTTTCAACTCTAAAACAGATACAAGCTGCTAAGTATGAATAGAATTGTCACTGTATAATGTTGATTAATGGTGCAGAAAATGAAAGCTCTGAATGATGTTGCACTGCTTTTTATAGGGCCTTGACTTTTAATGGATGTCCTATAGGCTGCTCTACCTGATGTTGCTTGTCCAAGACAAGAACTTGTGCTGAGATACTTTSTGTTAAAMTGTGCAGATAATTGATGTMTTGTTGGCCAAATGGGCTTGGGACTAGTAAAGCCTTCTTAGCACTACCCTTTGCCTGCTTTAAACCTTTTACGAGATTGTTCTTAGAGTTTGATGACATTTTTAYTGTTCTTCAAAATACAGAATTGATTTACTTTGTGATTCTAAAGTACTTTTCTTCAGTTATTGAATTTTGTAAATTGTGTTAGTCAATAATAGTTTTCATGTTTTAATTCCTCTTAAACCTACAGGTGTAGGGTTAATTGTAAGGTTYTTTGCCTCAACTCTGAAAAAGGAAAGAAATTATCTCTAAGAAATGCCTCTTAGTTTTCTAGATCTCATAGAGTAATCTCTTAATATTTGTTTTCATGTCATACTGATCTAGATTCTTTTTAAACTTGATGTAAGTTCAGAGTTTTAAAAAAGGCCATACTATTTCCTGGAAAGGAGACGTGTGCCTTTTGCTAATCTAGAGTAAGGTGTAACATTGAGTTGACCAAGACATGACTAAGAAATAATTTTAGCAGGGAAACGTAGAGAATGGCTTGCAAACTGCAAGTTTTAACTGAAGGCAAATGTGTTGTGACATTTTGTTATCTTAGATGGCACTGTTGCTTACGGCATACAGGTGAAACTTAAATATATTCTTTTCAAGTCATTTACTGCAGAAGCTGGTTGTTTGAAAATCATCATATTCTTATGCACCAATGTTATTTCCCATTTCTCAGTTAACGGCGAGTCATCTGCCTCTGCACCTGAAGCTAGTAGTTCTTCTGTCTCTGAGGCTCCGACGGGTTCAGATGAAGCTCCTGTGGTTTCAGCAGATTGCACTAATGATACAGCAGAACCTCAGTCAGCAACAGAAGCAACCAGTTGTTCTGAAAGCCACACTTCTGCATCCCCTGTTGTGTCTGCTGGACTAGAACCTGCAGCTGCAACAGACTGTGCTCAGCCTAATGCTCGAAACAGTATAGCAGCAGATGCAGCAAAGCCAAGGGAATCCTCCTCCACGCCAAGTGTATCTGCAGAACCTGTAAGGCAGCAGCCTGGTAGTACCAGTACAGAACCTTTGCCACCAGGGTATGTTGTTTTGCTTTTAATGCTATCATTTTGTGTCATTTAAATGTGCATATAGAGAAACAGARACAAATTCTCTACAAGAATTGTCAAATGCAGGTCAGCTGGCTGAGACAGGGTTATTTGATCTAAAATGGGACTTGTACTGCTGCTATAACAGGCTACTCTTGTCCCAGAAAGTAACAACTGAGATGCATTGTGATCTTAACAGACAAAYTCTTGGGCATTGTGGATGTGAAGACCTTTCAATTGATATTTTCAAACTTATTTGGACTGTAATTCATTACTCCTTTGTTTCTTAACGATGAGAATGTAGTAGGGACCAAAGCACAGAGGGGTGAAAATTACTAGTCTGTAAATGCTTGTAGGTGCTTGTTGTGTAAGTATGAGTTCAATAATGTTAAACATCAGATTTGATATGTATCTATATGCTAGAATAGCTAGAATATTTTATTTTTACTAGAATGCTAAAAACTGCTTCTGTCATCTTAAATAGAAAATGGAAAATGTGCTTAGACATTAAATGAAAATACAGTACATGCTCARTTATAGATATATGGATATATATATMTCTTAAGATTTTTTACATATGCTTTCATGTTTGGGTGAAAAGATACCTCCAATAACAATTTAGAAATACTGATATTTCCATAATATTGTAAATATTAACTATTTTAGCATTTCCGATCATAGAAACTGTTTCATAACCCAAAGTGAATATACCTTGTTTCATTGTAGCTGATATTTCAGAGAGCCTATCTTACACCTGCTCCCTGTGAAGAAGGTTCAGTAAGTTATTAGTGACCCTTCACTTGAGTTTCTGCAGTTAGAGAAACATGAAAGCAAACATTTAGGAAGATATAAATACTGTATATAACTTGTGAAAGAGTTACTTAGTTGTTAATTTTCAGATTCTGTCATTATAGGTGAGAATTCTTTCCATACATTCTTTTTAAAATTAATTACATGCTTTCCCATTGAGGACAGGGTCATGAGTTCCAGCCACAGTGCACACTATGGCTAATTTCATTTATTCAGCATTCCCTGATCATGTTTCTGTGGGGTTTTTGTTTGGTGGTTCCCTATGCCCCGCTCCTTCTTCTCCTTTCCTCTCCCACAGCATCACCCCTCAGCTTGAGTCTCCATTATGTGTAGCCCTCTCTTCTCTTCTTGAAATCTTAACATATAATTTCTTGAATTGAAGAAAACTTTTTGTAGTATTATAGGATTGACTGAAATAATGAGGAAATGCATATCCAATTCTATGAATAGCARGCCAGGTGTTCTGCCTACGTTTTTAGGAACTGATTAAGTGTTTATGTAAGTAAAACAAATATATAGCAACTGCAGACAAACRYTTCAACTTTTCACCTAACATTTATCCTGGTTTCCTCTCCTATAAGTACTTCTRTTGCATTATGGTAGTTCTCAGCATCATGAAACTTCAGCTGCTGATAATGTTTGGTCCTACCTCTGTCTTCAATGTAAGTTTGTTTTGCAAAAAGAAATAATTCCCGGGGAAATCAGATACAGAATTTACCAGGAAATGGAAACACAGGAAAACCATCTGATAGCACACACTTCAGGATCCCTCTGAAAGATGCTGTTTGTTGCATATAGGGAGCAGAGTTTCTCATTTTTTAGAGACATGAACCTGGAAATGCAAAAAATGGTTTTTTAACCACTTTTTGGAATTAGGTTATTTTAACATCCAAGCATTGAGCAGATAATTARTTGATTTGGTTCTCAGCTTAAATATTAGAGGAAAATGCTTGTGAATATTGGTGTATGCTCATTATGTGCCAAATCCTTTAAGGAAGTCTCTATGGTGATATCAGCTCGATAGAAAGTAACTGACATATATTCTTGTGTGAATTTTGTTTTGTGTTCTAGAATGGTACAATTTGGACCATGGTATTTTCATTCAATACCAAGGTACCTTTTTGTACCCTTTCTCCTTGACTTACGTGCAAGTCTCCTTGTCTTGAAGGTGGGAGCAAAGAAAAGATCCTCATGGTAGAACCTATTATGTTGATCACAACACACGAACTACAACATGGGAAAGACCACAGCCCTTACCTCCTGGGTAATGTAGACTTTTTTGAATTAATTATAATAAATATACTATATTTTTCTTTCGGAAACAAACAGAAGCTCATTAAAACTGCATCCTGTATCATATATTAAGAAATTATAGCTTTAATTATATTAATTGCAGCTATTGTTACAGGAATATTGATACTGTATGTRTCACTAATTTTGATCTATTTTTCAAATACAGCTACTAAAGTAATTTGTTCTTCCTTTAAAACTTAAGCATGAAATAATGCATATTTGATTACCTTTATTTAGGTAGCACCACTAAATGTAGTGCACTAGTTCCAAACCTCAGATTTCCCGCCGAAGAGTTCTCTGTTAAATATGCCAACATTACTTGCAGTCACAGAAGTGTACAGAGTTAAAAATGAGGCGACAGAGAGCTGAGCAGGCAATTGCTTGAAGTCTGTGCTTGCTTGTAGTGGTTGTTCTTCTACCAATTAAATTGTGTCTGCTTTTTTTTGTCCTTAAGAAATTAAAATTAAAAAGCCTGTGACTCCACTAGTTCATTCAAGTACCACCTAGGAATTTAGCATGAAGAGAAAATTGGTTAGTAACACTACTGAWAAAACTTAACTGTTAACATTTGTGTTTCTTGAAAGCTGGGAAAGAAGAGTTGATGATCGTGGTAGAGTTTACTATGTGGACCACAACACCAGAACGACAACGTGGCAGCGACCAACAATGGAGTCAGTGAGGAACTTTGAGCAATGGCAATCTCAACGGAATCAACTGCAGGGAGCTATGCAACAATTCAACCAACGATACCTCTATTCGGTAAAGTGTGCACACAATTTAGAAATTWGTACTAGTATTAGAGGTATAGGTATACTTTTTGTTCTTTAACTTTAGAAAAAATGGTTTTGTAGCTATTCAACCATACTTGTTTAAAGACATTTAGCATCAGTAACTCAGATGGTGATTATTTTGAAAAAAAGTTTAAGATAATCCTTGGAGGCAGAAAGTACTCTCTTCTGAGTTTGTTCCCCAACTGGAGCTTTGTGCATTGCATTTTACATAAGACTTYTAGTGCGAGTAATAAGTGGTTAAAACTAAAGTAGTACCTTAAACTGCAAAGGAATGTAAATGCTGTAAGGGGACATTCTGAACATTAAATAGCMTTCAGAACTGTTTGGGTGATTAGGAGTCCTTTACTAATGCAAGTGRCAGTTCTATTACTTTGTGCTTACTTTGAAGCTTACGCATCTAGTTYAGCTCTGGAATTTTCTACGTGGTTTTCCATTTCTCTCAGATARTTGCTTACTTCTGCTGGAAGAAAATATTAATAGCTTTGAAGAGGATATTTCTTCAGACAGATTTTCCCGTGACTGGATAAATAAGATAGTTGTTTTCAGCTTTGAGAATGACAGCACCYATGTGTCACTGTCACTCTAAACAGTGTGCTTCAAGAGTTGTGCTTGGCTTCTTAAAAAAATTATCCCAGAGGCTTTGTAAGTGATATGTAGAAAGCTGGAGTGTTTTAAAGAAGCTATTGAAGTACAARTCTATACCAGCTTCATTGAAATGGGACCTTACTTCGAATTTGATGGACTTCATTCTCATWCGCCTCTGAAATAAAGGATGCTGCAGTATTCCATTTAAAAGTTCTCAACCTCTCATTATTGAATCAGGCATTATATCTTGTCACTAGCAATAGCAGAAATATGCATTACCACTAATTTCCTTAAGTCCCAGAGCTGTGCATCAAAGTCAATTTGTTTTATGCAATTAGAGAGAGGTAGTAGGTCAAGGCTGGAAAGGACCTCTGAAGGTTATTTGGAGGGTCCAAGGTCCCTCCTCAGTTAAGACCACCTACAGCCAGCCATCCAGGACTGATGTCCTGTAAACATCTCCAAGGATGCAGACTCCATAACCCCTCTGGGTAACCTGTGTCAGTGCTCGGCCACCCTCCCAGTAAAAAGTGTTTTCTGATGGTWAGAGGGAACCTCCGTGTTTCAAGTGTCTGACCATTACAAGACCATGGCTGGTCTTGCCACTGTGCACCAGTGAAAATATCCTGGCTCCATCCTTTTTGCACCCTCCTTCAGGTATTTATACACATTGGTAACTTCTAATGCAAATCCAGGAATYACAGCTGAAGCCAAAAACATAGAGTCAAAAACTGTTGCTGACCAACTTTATGCACTTGTGTACTACTTTCATCAGTTGCATAAAACATCTGACAAAACTCTCACTTTTCTGATGCCAAGATTTTTTTTGAGCTAGATTTCTTTTTCAGAGAACAGGATATTTTTTAARTTAAATTACATAACTTCCTTCATTRAAYGATAACTCTTACTGAAAACCACAGACTCATTTCTTAAAATGTCTCATCTGACCTTAGAATCATTAATTGAGGATTTGTTTGTGAGACTGAATATACGTGAAGGAAGAGAAAAGAAAACTTGACTGTTCATATCTCTTTAGAATTCTGAATTCCGTATTGTATCTGTTGCACAGGTAGAAACTCATTTGRGGGGGAAAATTGAAATTATATTGGAAAGAGTGAGGTTTTTTTACTCTAGTGTTCTTTTGTGCACTTTTCTTCTAGAATAGTTAAGGTCAAACTGTAGCTAACTTTTCCTGCTCTGATGACATACCAGGACTCTGCCTATATGACAGTTTTTGAGTGAGATTGTATTTAATTTTTTGGGAGAAAGTAGATGAATACTTTAAGTTAGAGAATGTTTCAATTGCCTTGAATGGTCAAAGCTAAGCCATGTAAAGAACAGAAAAAGTAGAGAAAACAAAAGAAACAAAAGTAGATGGGATACAGTTATTTTATTTACTATCGTTTTTACCTGGATTAATTTATTGTAGTCGTTTTGGAATTGAACTGCCTGGTCTTTCAGTATATTCTGTTAAATATGCAACTCGGTGTGGCCAGTAGCCACACACAAATCCTCGGACCCATTTAAAAGGTCAGAAATGTCTGAATCGTGCCACCCTTCAGTTCTTTGGCAGACAGCATTTTGATTTTGTGCACTATTCTTTTTTTACACTCACCACAGAGAGGTCTTTGGTTAGAGTGTCATTGAGATTGTGYAGTCTCCTAAAACAGAAAAGACTAACTGCATTTGCTGGTGAAATAACAATAATTTCACATGTAGTAGCTGGTGGCTGGAACAACTATGCAGCGCGATTTTGAGTGTGTARCTAATTCATTTCTTTCTCATTCTTGATCTCTTTCTCCTTCAGAGGAAAAGTAACATAGATTTGTTTTGCCTGAATTTGCTGCTGTAAACTATTAAGTTCATTGGAMATTTTTGTATTGCAAATACTATATAAAGCAGTATTAGTTCCTAAGACACTCTTTGGAAAGCATAGCCTGGTTTCCCTTTATCAAAATTCCATTCTGCACACACATAAACTAAAATTTAGCGTCTACAAAATTTTATGGGTGGATGCTTTTARTTATAAATCARAGCATGGATCCTAYAATCTGTGGGATTTATGTCTTGTTTTATTTTTCCCCATATTTTGTATTTTTGGGAGCTACTTGGGGACTTCTGCAAGGTTGCAGTATATTATAAGCTTAGCATGTGTTTACATAATAATGTAATCCCATTTTTTTTTCTCCTTTTAACCTTATGTTGGTATAATTTTACCCATCTGCGTATGAATACAGCTGCATTTTTTAAAAAAAATACAAAGTTTTAAAATAGCCAAACATCCAGGGAAGTTACCATGTATTGAGGAAGTAAAACCCCCTATGTTGGCAGTAGTCACTGTGCTTGGAAATGTTTGTTATGGTAAAACATGTTTTTAAGCAAAAACATTGTTCTTATCTGCTGATACATGCTTCCTCAAAACTTGTATGAACTGTACCTCKTTGTACGACCATTCAAGTTTGCTGTAGTAAGGGAAAGGGAGGGTACATTAGACTGGAAAAAGTGTGCAAAGCATATTTTATTATCATGTAATTGGTGTTTCTGTGCAAAACCAGATAAAAAATTGCAAGATAGGGTTTTTTTTCAGAATTAATGGTCTTCAGGTCTMGTGGTAATTGTAAAACACAATAAGAAAATAATTTGAATAATATTTGGCCTAACTGAAAGTCCTCTTGTTTTTAAATAGGCTTCGATGTTGTCAGCAGAAAATGATCCACTTGGGCCTTTACCACCAGGTTGGGGTAAGTGAATTAGCTGTGGATTTTAGGAAGTGGCGGTTACAGAAATTTGGAATGCAGTTATTGTGGTGGATTTTTTTCTTTTTTTCCCTTAGAAAGGAGAGTGGATTCAAATGATAGGGTGTATTTTGTAAATCATAACACAAAGACAACACAGTGGGAAGACCCTCGAACTCAAGGGTAGGTGTGTATAATGACTGTGCAGATAGAAAATATTTTGCGTAMTTCTTTTATATCCTGAAATGGGGGAAAAAGCACTGCCTGCAATTTCTTTTGCAGTTTACAAAATGAGGACCCTCTTCCAGAGGGCTGGGAAATCAGATATACCAGAGAAGGTGTCAGATATTTTGTTGATCATAATACAAGAACCACCACCTTCAATGATCCTCGTACTGGGAAATCTTCTGTGTGAGTGAGAAATTGAATATATTTTTCAATGTTTTACCTTGTTATAGTTTCACAGTAAAATTTTCTCATACTATARATGATCTACATTTTTAGCTGGAATTGCACACTAAACTATGAACAAGTTGTAATATAAATTTAATACATTTTTATGTTTTAATGGTAAGTTTATCTATGACACACTTTGCTGTACTGCTTTAATGTTCAAGAGTTTTTATACACTTTTCAAATACCAAGATTGTAATCATTTTGTAAATAGAGAGGGGAAGTGAGGTAAACTTGAATATTGCACTAAAGATCTAATATTTGCATTTTTAAAGAAACAGCAAATGATCATTATGAATATTCCTCATATTGATACACATTCTAGCAACAGTTACATYTAAACAAAATAGTTTTAAATACTTCTGAAAATGTTTACATACAAATTTTCTTTGGAATATTTTGATCAGAAGTATTGACCCAATCTATAGTGGCTTTCTTAATGTCTTTTWTATAAGGTAGGGTTTACTTCTGACAGCATGGTGATGACTTTTCATTCAATGAGCCTGTAAAATGTTACACTAGAAACTCCTTCATTCTCWCAGTGACGATGATAAATAAGATGTCCTTCCTTTAGGTGACTTGTAGTTTTACAAGTTTCATAGGGATTTGATAGTCTCTTGATCTCTTACCTTTCTATCAAATTTAGCAAATTGGCTTGCAAAAAAAGAAATGGGTGAGGGGTGTTGGAAAGGAAGACTGGCATTCCAAGCCACCAGCTGCATTTGATTGTATCTTGTAATGATTTTTGTGTATTTTTGAAATCTTAATGCTGTTGTTTAGCGTTTGAAGTGTTATTTGATATCTGATGCTTAATGTATCTCAAATATGTTTCCTTGCAGAAATAAAGGGCCACAGATTGCTTATGAGCGTAGCTTTAGGTGGAAACTTGCTCACTTCCGTTACTTGTGTCAGGTACTGATTTAGTAATTATTACTTATTGAAACTATATGAGTTTTTACACGTGTATATGATGCCTTTTAATGTTACTGCCTTATATTTACAGTCCAATGCACTGCCAAGTCATGTGAAAATCAATGTATCCAGACAGACTTTATTTGAGGATTCCTTCCAGCAAGTAAGTCTACAAAAATGATGGTGTTTGTTTATCAAGACAAAGCATAAGAACGAAAATGGCCATAGCCAGTTCAGACTAATGGTCCTTCAGGCACAGTAATCTTGCCCTGATATTAGCTAGTGGGGTTTTTTTTAGGGAAGGTCCTAAGAACAGAAGTATTGTATATAATACTTATTCTCTATGATCTTTCAGCTTCCAACTGTTTACAGCTGAAATCCTTCTTGAGCTTGAAGTGGTTTCTGAGTATTTTAATAATCCTCAAGGGATTTATTTTCTGTGAGCTTATCTGTGCTCCTCTTGAGAAAATTTTGCATTTACAGCCTCGTGTGGTAGAGTTCCATAGCTTAACCTACTGTGGCATCAGCCATGTCAGATTTCCTTTCCCAGTTCCTGTCTRTGGTTAGATACATTACAATATGTTGTTTTCTCCAGTTAAAACGGGTGTCCTGCTTGGTCCTTCAAAGATTAAATCTGTGTAATTAAAGCTTACAGTTCTTGAGCTCTTACAGTCTGCAGCCAGTGTATGATGAAAATTCTTGCTGCTGTCGCCACATCCCTCTTGGCAGGGATTCTCAATAAATAAAAAGTATACCATAAATGAAAGTATATTGAACTTATTGTGGATTAAGTTATTTCTTTAAGTGATTTGCATAAAACGAAAAATCAGATATATCAGATGAGGTCCCTATTCGCCTGTTTTCCTTTAATAATGACTGCCTTAGGAAGAGTGTAAGAACAGGGCACCTATGTAGCAATACTTTACAGAGAGCCTTCCACCTGCTAGCAGTCTGCTGCTCAAGGATTTTAAGTCCAAGTTGGTATTTTTGTGTGTAATTAATTGATTGCATGTTCCATGAGATGGTCTAATTGCTTTTCAAATTTGTGTAACGATTGACATATATATAATTTCTGTATCAACATTAAATTAAGTCTGAATGACTGATGCAATGAAAATGCATACTTTTTAACTTATTACTTAATTTTTTAATAGATCATGGCATTAAAACCCTATGATTTGAGGAGAAGATTATATGTTATATTTAGAGGAGAAGAAGGATTGGATTATGGTGGCTTGGCAAGGTAAAAGAAATTTACTTAAATAGTTTTTATTTTTTTAATAGCACTCTAGCCTTGATTTTCCTTGCAGTCTGACCCTAGGTACCTTTTTAGTATCCCTAAATATATTAAGGAGGTGAAACTGGCAGCYCTGGCAATTTTTACAGGTTATAACTTCACATTGGTAAAACTATGGTCTTAGTTGTTCAGTTCTTTGACAAAGATTGATGTTTAAATTGGAATGAAATTAATTGCTCTGGACTGAGTTGTTTCAGAAACTTTTTATCAGAAAGTTCAATTTTCCTAGAAGTGGGGACTGTGGAAAAATAAAGTGTTCTGCTTATTTGGAAAAATAACAAGTGAACACCAGATTGGGGCTGATAAGAACAGAAAGGAAATAAACAATAGGAGAGTAGTGCAGGCCTGAAGGAACAGCAGGCAGACAGAGTGTGTTGGCTCCACTGGAATGTGAAACATGYAGACTAGAATCTGAAGTGGAACTCAGGGGAAAAATCTGATAACAAGAAAAACCATAGACAAAGTTTCATCTCTTGGCCTTACAGAATACAACCACTGACTATTGCTGTCAGTTACTTGAATGAAATGTTACTGATAAGATAAAAATTTCAGTACTACTGTAGATCCAGGGAATTGGAAGAAGTCATAGGTGATAGAATTTTTCGTGTTAGGTTGTTTTGGTGGTTTTTTTTTATGTAAAGGCATTGTGTTTTTGTTTTGCTCTGGTTTTATGTGGCTTTCTGTGTTAAAATGGAAATCAGTGAAAATACATAATATTTATAATTAAAACGCTTGCCTCTGAAGATTGAGTTTCTTTGGGTATGTGAGGTGTTCTATCTCTGATTACAGTATCTGATAGACTTTTGGAGAGTGACTGCAGGGAGGAATTAAATTTTTGCTTTGCTTGGGAACTGGGACAGTTCTAGTACACAGCCTGTTCTGTAGAAACAAAGTGTTCCAAAGGAGACATGCTGGGATAATTTAACTGAAGTGTGTTAATCACAGAAAGTAGGAGAATAAATAAATAAATAAAGAAATAAATACATAAGTAGTATAATTTCATAGTTTCATAGTTACTTAAGACTTGCCCAAGATTTTGTATGAGAAACTGAGAACCAGCCAGGATCTCGTTGTAACTTGAGCTTAAAATTCTTAAGTCACACTAAATAAATGTTCATRTACTGACTAATGAAATACTGTATTAATATAAATATAGATCAGCTGTCTTTCAACAGACTAAACTCAGTGCTCCCTTCAGATTTTTACMTTGCACGTAGCAGGATCAGACATTGTGTCCTGTGGCAAGTTTTAGCTGTTAGTATGAAAAAGTCATTTTTTCTGCAACTTCTTGTTAGTGACTGATCTATTTAATTCCTCCCTTGTTATGTGACTTTGTTCTAATTTAAACATCTATTAAATGTGACGCTTCTGTGTGGTTAATATAATYGTCTCAGTATGAACCTTGCCTAGAAYGCTGTGYAACATTCTTGTGCTTACTGGAAGGTACAYGGAACCCTGTTAGGATTATTGGATCCTGGCTGCCTTTCTCTGTTTATTGTTTCTGCTTGGCCTTTGGGTTGGAAGCATGTTGCAGTGAGTCATGATCCATGCCTTGAGTTTCATGGCACTCTTAGGAGAAACATGCCAGCAAACCTCATTTCTGTTCCTTGATCTTGAGTAAATATAGGAATAGAAGAGCTGCCTCTTAAATGTGACAGCTGAAAGKCAATCAGAATGGAATTCAGTTCCTGCAGTTATTATAGAACAGATTTTTTGCTTTWTGTGGGTATCACAGAGCCTGGTTGTTTAGTACCAAACATTTAGTGCCTGATAMAAAAGCTCCTGGGTGTATATGACTATTCTGAGGTCTCTGATCATGTGCAAATACTAKAAAGCAACAAATATTATAAAAATCACCTATCTGAACACTGAAATACCAGATTCTGGTATTATTTCAGATCAGCTGAATTGAAAACTATTAAAGTGGTGAATAACRTGTTCATTTAGCCTCAGCAGAAAGRTATTTTTGCACTGTCATGTCCCAAAGGCTTAACCAATGCATGGTAATTTGTTAAACTACAGTAACTCAGTGAGAGTTTTGCTGTCAGACTGGAAAAGCAAATAATCTGTGTTGAGGTTTCAGTTTATTTGTTTGGTTTTTTCCAAGGTTTTTATTAATAAGCATGAAATGATCTGATTTTTTTTTGAGTAAAGATTTGAATTGTAGGCAGTAATGCAGGTATGAGGAGGGTAAATGCTATGTACTGGTTGAGGGAAGGACTGTAAGAAAAATATTTTACTAATAGGCAGCTAAAACCTGTGCTAAGAGGRTATGTTCAAGATGACAATCAACTGTAATTTCTAAACTTGGGAAGCCATGACTTTCTAWCATTATTTGGTTTGTTAATTAATTTTCTGTATTTAAGAAGTATATAATACCATATATTATTCTGTGATTGTAATACAACACTGTTTGTATTATTTTTCAAAGTTTGCATATATTTTGACCATTTTGCTCGTTACCTAAGGGGAATGGTGATAAACTTCTGTATTTGATGGTTTTTATGTGTATACATGTTTTTTTTTCCTTAGAGAATGGTTTTTCTTGCTTTCCCATGAAGTACTGAACCCTATGTACTGCCTATTTGAATATGCTGGCAAGAGCAACTATTGCCTGCAGATAAATCCAGCATCAACAATCAATCCTGACCATCTTTCATATTTCTGTTTCATTGGGCGCTTTATTGCCATGGTAGGTTAGATTTTTTAAGGTTTTATATTTACTGTAGCTATACATTTACTCCTGAACAGTATTTGTTTGTGCAGTTATTAAAGGTTATATTGATCTCATAGAAATGGGAGATTAAGGCATATAAGTTTATTGAGCCAATTCCCTGAGAGTTAGGTCTCTTACACACGTTTCCTGGGAGAGTGATGAAAGTTAATGTAACATAGATATAATATTTTATTTTCATCAATTGGATGTGTGTACTTCATGCAAACTGCTGTTTGATTGAGTGTCTGAATACTGATGCTCTGAAAAATGTGACTGAAAAGGCTCCTTAGTTGAACTTGGTATACCTTAATATATTTGAGAAAATGAGAAAGTTTTGCAGAATACCCTGAGCCTTAATTTGAATGTACATACTTGGATACAAAAGTCAGATATGGAGGASACCAGAAGCTGATTCTCTGCCATCAAATTTCTCTTAAACTAAAATCTGTTGAGGCATGTTGTATCATTTCTTCTGGTATCACTTRGTCAGTCTTCTATAGTGACTCCTGTTCTGTCACATTTCTTTCCTTCCATGTAGCAATACAGTCATCTTTCCACAAAATCATCACATTTACAGATAGTCTTCAGCAACATCCCTGAACATKGTGAATAGCAAAACCAAAACGAATAGATAAAAGTGCATTTTCATATTGAAGAGACTAYTGCCTTATGTTGTTCAGACTTTATGAAATTAAATTAAATACAAGCCAAGTGTAACATAAAATTACKTTCAGACTTAAATTAGGTTTGGGTGTTCTCTTAGTTCTGCTTTTCTTATAAATGCTTCTTGAGAAATTTATTCAGTTTTGATGACGACAACACCTCTGATTTCAAGCATTTTGTGGCAGAGTTCACCATTTTTTTGCTGTCGTGAAAATTTGTCTCATTGGGTTAGCACTTTCAACAGGCTGCCAACTTTTTTCTTTATTTTATAGTCCTTAGCAAGTTACAATGCCACTTAACAAGAAGGCATGATAAAGCCAGTTAGGTGCYAGAACCTTTGTTTGCTTTAATTGGTGATTTTTGATCTTGTGTGTAAGAAACGTTAACTTTAGGAAAGCTATTTCATAACAATACAGATCATAGTAGAGAACTTAATTAAAGCAATTAATGTGGTTAAAAGACAAACTCTTATTTCCTGAAGTATTTATGTGTTTGTATTTTAAATTCTCTAAGTGGGGCCAGAGAGAGACCGATGTAATRGTGCCTGATGTGGTCTGTTGCAAGGTTTGAGTATATTCATGGTTTATACTGGATAGTACTTTCTGCAGTGTTTCCTGGGGATGCCCTCTAGTGGCCTAAGATAGCTCAGGTAATAATGTAACTGGGAAAGGCACTTGCAGATTTTGTTCTTCTCACAGATCTAAAATAGTGAGATGTTTTAAGGACTGAAGTAGCCAGAGATGTTTTCAACTGAAACAGAATTAAACATAAAGAATACACACCTGACTTCATAATAAAAACCTGTAAAATGAAGCGGGCTGAGGCAGCTTTTATATTTYGGTGTGAGATTATCATACACATTAAGTCAGGTGATTTTAGGAGCTTTTTTTTTTTGCAAAAAGCAGAAAGTCATATGTCCAGATGCTGCACTTGACATGGAATTTCTRTCAGCTCACTCTCCTATGAGAATAGACTAGTTTAAAAGTAAATAAATATATAAACAAACAAAAATAAAAAAAAAAAAGAACCTCTGAACTCTTCTAAAGCAGAAGAAAATGCATGCTAGACTAGGCCTAAAAGGGGGAAATTAGGTGGGGAAAAAAGGTGGAGCCTAGGAGAAATGGGCTGTTACTTGGCCCTTCTGCTCATAGCATTTCAGCTGAGGGAAGAGAAGCGATGAATGCCATGCATGGCCTATGGTTATGATGATTTTTTTAAAACAGCTATTTTAGTGAAGACAGTGTATTTGATAAAGCTGAGAGGAAAAARGGTTTTCATGGTTATGGCTGTGCTCTGTGAGCTCTCAGATGCACTGAGTCAGTGTAGAGGTTTACMCTGTGTGTGTTTGTGTGYGTGTGTAATGCTAAGCTTCAGTACTAGAAATCAGCTTACACCGTGTGCATGYGTGGTGAGACAAGTGTGACCATGTTTGAGTTTGTTTTCTGTTCCAGTTTCGTGGAGAGCTTAATTCCTCAATACTGTTACTCACCTATTAAAAAAAGTGATTTGTGCACTGGGATCACGTTATATGATTCCCCAAGGTTTCTTACAAGCTGCAGTAGCATTTTATAAAGGATGATGTTGCTGGATGTATGTATGTAGTAAAAATTGGCAATAGCACTCAAGTAGGATCAARTATTATGATCAAGTAGGATCAAATAACACTTGGCAATTATGCCTATTCACATAATTAAGTGGAGAAAGGATGAAGTTCTTTTATGAGAAGTTTTTTTTTAATCAAAAAATTTCTAAATTGTAATAACATATGCTTGGATAAATTTTGTTAATTTTTTTGCTTCCCATTTAATTTAATGTTTTGTTTTTTTATAAATATGGCTTTATAAAGCTGCTACTGCTATTTTGTGCWTTTTGTTATTTGAAGGAGAAAGAATAGAAAGACCTGAAGTTCAGAAACACTTCAATAAGTCAGCAGTTCAATAAAAGCTAAACATYTTTTTCTGTTCAACAGGCATTGTTTCATGGGAAATTTATTGACACTGGTTTTTCTCTGCCTTTCTACAAACGAATGCTGAGCAAAAAACTTACTATTAAGGATCTAGAATCTATTGATACTGAATTTTACAACTCCTTAATTTGGATAAGGTTTGTCATTTATTTTTCGTGTCTTTGATATTTTATGAATTTTTTTGTTTATACAGAATTCATTGTCATATCTTTTTTCTTTTCATCCAGGGATAATAACATTGAGGAGTGTAACTTGGAAATGTACTTCTGTGTAGATATGGAGCTCTTAGGAAAAGTAACCTCACATGAACTGAAATCAGGTGGTTCAAATATCTTGGTAACTGAAGAGAACAAAGAAGAATATATTGGGTAAGAAGATGGAGATGCKGAAAAGAAGTGTTCCATGTTTCTCCTGTTGCTCTAATCTTTTTTGACATGSTGGTTTTTGTTGGYTTGTTTTTGTTTTGTTTTTCCTTTTTCTTTCCATATTGCTATGTAATTCTTGTGAGTATTACTGAAATGGTATCTTGGTTCATGTTGGTATTTTGATACACAATCACTTGGTACAAAAGGAGAGCATGAGGAGAGAAGATGACCTGTCGTGCTATTACATGTACAGTGAGAGAACAGGTGAAACTGAAATGAGCAAGCCTGTTTTCAGTAACTACAGGTAACAAATCCAGATGGAGYAAAAATACCTGTTTGACGAAGATTCTAAAATTGTTCAGAACTTTGCTGTCAATGTGGAAACTAAAATTCAGAATGGTGTATAACATGCTGTGACTTAAACTATTTTTTTAAAAACTTTCTGCTGCTCTTTTCTGCTTATTTCCTATTTTATCACTGCCTTTTTTGTTCTGAACCTATGTTTCTGATTTACTCAGTGATCTCAAAAGCAGTTGTACACTTTCTATGATGCAGAGTATGTGCAGTGCTGCATATAGTTTTCACTTAAATTAGAGATGTTAAGTTTCTCAGAGAAATAGTTTCTATTGTATATAGAGATAAATATATATAAATAAAGGTTAATAATATTATTTCTTTGTAACTGGAATGGTAATCTAAGTTACATCTTGCTACTTTATTATTAAGTGAGTTGGAAGATTTGTGATAATATTAGTATGGTAGGTTACTTATAGTTAATGGAATTGCAGAAGGAATTGTAAGATGTAAAATTTGAGGGAGTCTTACCTGATGGGAACACACAAACAAGCCTATGTGAACTTCTTCATGTTGAATGCTAACTGGTGTTTAATTCACGTTTTRTTCTATCCCAGGCTAATGGCAGAATGGCGATTTTCTCGGGGAGTTAGAGAACAAACCAAAGCTTTTCTTGATGGTTTTAATGAAGTAGTTCCTCTACAATGGCTACATTATTTTGATGAAAAGGAACTGGAGGTGAGGTTTTTTGTTCAACATTTTTACCTTCTGCAAAGGTAATACATATGRAAAGATTAAATGGATAGGTCAGCTTGAATCTCTGATCTGTGCATGCTGCATTTAATAACTTCTGGAACATGGAGAATTTATTAGGAGCAGTGAGATTAAAACATGATGAAAATTGAATCAGTGTTTTGTGATGTTCAGCATTAAAATGCTTTTTTGGAAGTTTCTGTAAAAGTATGTGAGATCACTGATGGATCTATGAATCACAGACTTTTCCCTCTTTGGTAGCTGTGTAGAATTACTGTGTAACAGATGACACAGAGGTTAGTTGTAGTGTATAGTGATTGCTTAGTGTCACATATATAGTCTAAGACAGGTTCCAGGGTTCTTCCTTTTAAAGACCGAAAGTTGGAGGAACCAACAAGGTTTGAAAGTGAGCTTTGTAGATCCTCAGTATGTAACCCAAGGGCTGATAACASRGATTGCTTGCATGCCCCATGTTTGMTTATCAGCCTGGCCTGTGTTCRCTCTTGGGGTTGTGATTTGGAGTAGGGACAAAAGACTCACAGTTTTGCTCATTTATTTCTGTGTGACCTGCCAAGATTCCCTGTATATAATGAGCARTTTTCTGAAACCTTCTTTAGTTAAATGGGAGGGTTTTTTCTAAGGAAAGACTTTACTCCTACTGCTACTACTAATAAAGATAAAACATACTCAAATTATAAGTCTGCAAAATATTCATTACAAGAGGCAATGAAAGCTGAAAGTTCTAAAGGCAAAGCTTTCTACAAAACAGTACACTGAATAAGATCAAGTAATGTAATCATATCATATTGGGATATGAGGTGAAGATTTATTTAATGGGACAGGCAATATCCTACTTCATAAAAAATTCTTCTTATGGGAATGGTAGTATCTTTTATTATTGAGTTATTAGTTGGAAAATRCCAAGTTTCTGGTATTCAGTCTTTCAGATCACTTAATTACATAAACAATTCTGGAGTAGTTCCATAAACTTAGGATAAAGGAAAAAYCTAATTGTGGAGTAACATTAACACATTACCAGTCCATTTTTCAGAGCAAAAACYTTGATTTTTGTTACCATGTCTCATACAGAATAGAAAATACTCTTAATTTATGTGTCTAATGTGAAGAAATATTTCTCTTTGCTAGGTTATGCTCTGTGGTATGCAAGAAGTTGATTTAGCAGACTGGCAGAGGAACACTGTTTATCGTCATTACACAAGGAACAGCAAGCAGATCATATGGTTCTGGCAGGTATGTTAATAGTTACATTTCTGACTTCTTTAGGTTTTGTTCTTTAACACAAATAACGTAGGGAGTGGAGGGCTGTCCAAATGGAGGTTCTTACAGCTTCCTTACTTTTTACTTTTCAGAGAAGTAAAGGAGTATTTCTGGTCTTTAGGGAGGATACTTTAGGGTGAGATATGGCAGATGGATGCACACATTATATTTGGATGCTGGCTTATGGATATTTTCGTCTATATCTTGTCCTTATAGATTAGTCARTGAGTTTCTTTTACTCTTAGCAGTGATCTACTTTCTAAATGTTCTTATGTATAGTACCTGTACATCTTCACCTTCCAGTACCTGAAGGGAGCCCACAAGAAAGATGGAGGGGGGCTTTTTGCAAGACGATGTAGTGACAGGACAAGGGGAAATGGATTCAAAGTAAAAGCGGGTAGGTTTAGAATAAATATCAGGAGAATGTTCTTTACTGTGAGGGTAGTGAGACACTGGAATAGATGGTCTAGAGAAGTTGTGGATGCCCCGTCTCTGGAAGAGTTCAAGGCTAGGCTGCATGGAGCTCTGAGCAGCCTGGTCTAGTGGAAACTGTCCCTGCCCCTGGCAGAGGCATTCAAACTAGATGATCTTTAATGTCTGTTTCAACCCAAAGCATTCCATGATTCTGATTGTATTATTTATGATTTATTATTACTTATGTTCTGATCTAGCACTGACTAATCTTCACTCACATTTAAATGAAGTTGGCTAAGGGAAACCCTCAAATACTATTCAGATTCACAATTTCCATGGATTTTCCTAAAGAGAAATCAGAGCTGAGCTGTTCCTGTCTTGTTAAAAATCACCATTTTAGAGATGCCTTTGACTAAGTTTCTCTAGAAAAGTGATGCAAATCATCTATTTCCTAGGCTATTTTTATTGTAAGATCTGATGATATATCTTTTTGAGGTCTTCAGTAGTGCAAGAATCTAAACCAGAAGTTTAAGTAACTCRGATATGGTATCAACATTATATATGCAAGCTTTTCTGAACCTGAATTTTAGGTGTATTAATACCCTCTCGCTTATGGTGACGTTCTCCATCTCCCCTCTCTTTCGTCCTCTTCCTTTCCCTTACAAAGTGATGCATCTGTTGTGGATGTTCTCTCTGTAACACTTCCACATACATGGAATGTTTAGTCTTGAAATMTCCAGAGTTTGTGCCTAGACTAGTGCTGTGTTTAATCACAATGGCAGTAGTCTTCATACAAAGCATTGGCATGATTTACATTTTAGTGTAGAATAAAATAGGTAAGGATTCTTCTTGTTTGCTGTTCCCAGTCTTCACGTCATGGCTGACAGTGCATACAATCTGAAATCACTGTTCTCCCTCCACCAGTTTTGCTAATATCAAGAAATGCAAACTGATACCAAGAYGGTTTCCTCATTGGATTTTTGTTTTTYTTCAACTGTGTTAAAGCTTTTTATTAATTAATTTGAATTTCTGTGCCTAGTTTGTAAAAGAAACAGACAACGAAGTTCGCATGCGACTTCTGCAGTTTGTCACTGGCACTTGCAGATTACCACTGGGTGGATTTGCTGAACTTATGGGTAAGTAAAAGGTGACCAAAACTGTTCTTATATTGTAACCGTTTAATTGGCAAATGAACCATGCTGCAAGTGYGCAGATAAGAAGAACTTCATGTTCATCACCTTGGATCTAGAAGGATTTTTTATAACATAAATCCCATGAATACATTTATAAACTATGTAAAAATGTGCTCATTTCTATCAGAAGCATTCCTGTGACTACCAAACTCTGCTCTGTATGAGTTGGATCTTATGTCACGTATATACTATGTATACTACTCAAAAGGAACAGATGACACTTTTCAAAATCATCTTTTCTAGGAAGTAATGGTCCTCAGAAATTCTGCATTGAAAAAGTTGGTAAGGAAACCTGGTTACCAAGAAGTCACACTTGGTGAGTGGTTACATGTAAACTTTCTGTACCTACCTTTAGTGGTTTATCTCTTCCAGGTTGCACTGGCCAAATCGAATGAAACCTAATTTGAATCAATTCTCTATCTCCATTTTCAGCTTCATTTGATTGGCCTGACATGACAGTATTGAAAACTTTTCTAGTTGCCCTCTCAAAGTTTGCTACTGTGCTGAACAGTTTRTCAGTATCAGATTTATCAAAAGTATGAGAATATCCTTGTGTAGAACTGAGAGATGTTTTCCTAATTCTTTTAGAGAATATTAAATAACTGAGCAAATCATGTTAGTACTAGGCACATACAGTTACTATGCAGTAACATTATAAAATATAAAATATATAGTCATGAGAAGAAGCAGCGKGAAAGAAATCACAGCAAATGCTCAAAACAGGGATGCTTAGCCAAGAATGATGACACTTTTTCCCATCAGACTTCAGATGGGCCATTATTGGCTTGGCATTCATGTTCATATTGAACGGGTGCAACAGGTGCACAGATCAGTTTCTCATACAAACAGTGCAAAACGTATACATTTTCTTTTGGCAACAATAATATTCATCATACTTTYACTTAAGGGTATACTCCATTTTACATTTTCTCCACTGAATTTTTTCTGAAGTGATGTTTACAAGAGTTAAACATACCATTTATCTAGCATAATTTTGGGGAGGACATGAAATGAAATGTTTTGGCAGAAGCCTTTTAGGGCAAAGTTTAGAGGGGAAAAAAACATGCATTTACTTACAGGCATGTGTAGGAAGGAGAAAAGTTCAGCTTTTTTCTGCTGTTGAAATTTAGAGGTGCATCAAAGTAGGATTATATTAAACTTCATGCTGAAAATTTCTTTTTCCAAGTATTACTAATGTAGGTAAAAATAATTATTATTATAAGTATCTTGTTTTTGTATTCTATTTTTTCTAAGTATTATAGTTCTCTGTATCTTGGGGTGTTTTTAGTCTTTAATGATTCTGGGTTTTTTATCTGGTTACAGGCTTTTGTTTGTTAAAATATTCCTCTGAAACTTTGTTTTTACTTCCTKTAGAAATGTCAAGGCAGTGGGACTGTGCTAATTGTTACTTCTTTTTTTTCTAATTGTCAGATCAGAACATTTATAACTTCTTCTATAACAGCTGACTTCTGTAGAGTTCTACTTGAATTTGGATAAATCTAACAATATTTTTTTTTTCTGTTCAGTTTTAATCGTTTGGATTTGCCACCATATAAAAGCTATGAACAACTAAAAGAGAAGTTGCTCTTTGCCATTGAAGAAACAGAGGGATTTGGTCAAGAGTAGAAGTGGCTTCTAGTCAAAAAGGATATCTTGCATAATAAAAGGCCCAGCCAACTAAAATTGCACACTTAATTGTATATAAGCTTTTTGTTCTGTACAGTGATCTTTCTGGAACTCTACAAGTTTAATTGTTCTCCGTTCTTCCACAAATATATGCAAAACAGTTCAGCCTTTTCTACTTTTATTTATTGCCCTTTCAAAAGACCAGAAAACCCCCTCCATAAATTTTGAAAGCAGACAAGAGACTTATTTAAAATATATATATAAAAAATATAAATATATATACTAATGGGCTCTAGTTTTATAGAGCTTTAAGTGTATGAAAAGTTGCAGCCATTTAAAAGGGCCTGGATTTGCTTTATCTTGGCTTTATCATYCAGAAAAATGTTTAAACTGCTCAGTGTTCTCCTAAGAAACATCTCCAAGTTTGTTTTACTGCATGGCTATTCTAAAAGGTGTTAAAGGCTTAGGCCAAACGTATCTTAAAAATGTAGAAAGATGCTGCTGGTATTTGAGACAACAGAATCTGTTGTTCTATCAGTTTAATTTTTTCAAATACGTAAATAGCTGATATATCCCTCTCTACTGATGTAGCCAAGGTCATGAATGAAGCCTTTACTACGTGCACAAGAGTCATGTACAATGAGATGAATGTGATTTAATGTTGAAAGGAATTGGTGCCACTGTTCTGACTTATTGCAGGAGCTGAACAGAGTCTTTTAATTCATTTGAGCAGCATTGAAATTTGTTTACATAGTACCTTGGGTTATTACCACGAGGATGTTAGGTAATCTTCAAAGAAAAAATAATAAAAGAGAAAATATTACCCATTCTCTTCTTGGTCTGGTGTCTTGCAGGTTTTTTTTTT